TTGTTGTTGACCGTGTAAAACTATGGAATGGGTTTAAAAACATGGGAAATCCAGAATAACCTCATTGTCCTCATGAGAAACCCATACACAAGACAGGAAATGACAAGATGAAACAGACTGGCTCCAGTTAACAAAGAAGAAAGACAAGCCAGTATCTTCTCTCCTTATTTATTCCACTTATAAGTTGGGTATATATTAAGAAAAGCTGGACTGAAAGAAAATGTATCTTTAAAACTGGAGGAAGAAAGAACAATAAACTGATGCAATGCTGATGATACCACTATGATAGCTGAACATGCAAATAATCGGCAAACTCTAATAATGAAAATCAAGGACCCCAGTGGAAAAAAATGGGACTAAGACTGAATATAAGAAAGGCCAAACTAATGAGGTGCCATCCAACTCTATAGCAAACTGTCTGGAGTGGGAGGGGGGGCACTTTAATTCACTGAATTAAATTTAGATTAACCAGGCTTAAAACTGACAATGAAGATACTGAAGTGATGGATAGCTTCTGCCTTTAAGAATGAACAATCAACAATAAAGAAATCAGTAATAAAGAAATCTACCTTTTACGATCAAAACCAACACTGAAGAAATCAGGAGTCAAAACTATGCTGATTAGCAATGAAGATCCAGAAGATTCAGAAAAAGATATTCAAATGCTAGGATGTGTCTACCTGCAAATAAGAGAATTGGACAGGCAATGGTTTTTCCCTGTGATGATTTACTACAGGGGTGTCAAACTGCCGGCCTGCAAGCTGGTTGCATCATACGGAGGCCGGCAATGCAAAAAAAAGTTGTGATACGTTGCGACACGTCACATGACGCAGTGAGTTTGACACCCGTGCTCCACTACAACGTGCAAGTTGGATTTGAAGAAGCAGGATAGGAAGAATATTGATGCTTTTGAACTTTGGTATTAAAGATAATTCCTGAGAATACCATGGATAGCCAAGGAAACAAAGATATTATAGAATAATCAATTCAGAGTTCTCCTTCAAGGTTAAAATAACCAGGCACAAATTATCATAATTTGGACACATTATGCAAATCACACCAATGTGTTACATTAGTGATGACTAATTCAAGAGTCTCAAACCTCATAGTATTGTGGCACAGTAAATGCTAAAGGAATTTGTGTGACCCTCCCCTCTTGGGAATAACAAGGTGTGTGTGTGTGTGTGTGTGTTCACACTAAAAAGTTTAATGGGAGTTAGAGATGGGTAATATATTTATATTTAAAAGGCTACTTCTATTTGCATTTCTGATAGACTGGTCATCTTTAGCTTTTTTTAATTGCCCAAAAGACTAGACATTTAAAATAATATGTGAAATTACTGAACACTAACATGTAAATTTTTATAGACACCACGCACAGATGTTTTTTTACAGTAAACTGGAAGTCATCAGCCAACAGAAAACTAACCATTGATCACAGCAGTGTTGGGACTGCCTGATGTTTTTAACAATTAACGAAACCTATGGATGGCTAAAATCAAAATGTGTCTCAAGTTACTCTGTTCTCACTTTATTTGCACAAACTGAACAGGTTTTTTAAAAAAATGTGTGACTTTCCTGTAAGTAGCTCATGACTGCAAGATAACAACCCACATTTGAGAAGAAACACAACGATAAAGATCTAAAAGTGCCATTCTCTATATCAGTGATGGCGAACCTTTTAGAGACTGAGTGCCCAAACTGCAACCCAAAACCCACTTATTTATCGCTGGGTGCCAGGTGCCCTGGCACCCAGGTGCCCTGGCACCCAGGGCCTGGCACCTGTGTGCCAGGTGCCAGGCCCACTGGATGGGTGTGGCTGTGGTGGTCATGGTAGATTGCGTGGGTGTGGCCAAGGTGGGCATGATCACCTCAATGTTGCTCGTGGGGAGGAATGCCTGTGGGGTCCGGGCAGGGTTGGGGGAGATCCAGGAGGTCTCTGGCAGGTGGGACAGTGGGCAGGAGGCTCATCCTGCGGAATGAGGCAAGGCGAGGCAGGGCGAGGGCACCATTGTCACAGGGCAAGGTGAGGCAGGGGCCGGGGCAGCTGCTGCCTGACACCATCAGCCCCTGCACACAGAGGCCAGCGAGCGCATGGGTGCTGGGATGCATCCAGCCATTGTGGGACCTCAGCGAGTTAGCAGGCGGTTGGTTGAAGAGAAATGGTTGCCATCTCCGGGGCATGGTGAGAGTGCCCACAGAGAGGGCTCTGAGTGCCGCCTCTGGCATGCGTGCCATAGGTTTGCCACCACTGCTTTATATGGAAGATATTTTCCTGTGCTATTTTTTAAAATTTAGCTAAAGTCCTTACATAAAAAAGAAAAAAAATGCATAATCTCTTACAAAAAAATTGTACGTCTCAATATATTCGATCTAACAAAGTTTTGCAAAAAAAAATGTTAAAATCTTTTGCTTGATTTCTACAATACACAGAATACCACCAAGGGGGATTTTTTTTTACTGATGCAAATCTCTGGAGCTATACAACACATTGCTGAAATGTATATACATGCAGAACAACAATACATAAATGCTTCACCATATTAGTGTTGAATGCTATTTCAACAAATGGAAATGACTTTTGAAGCAGTAATTAATTACAAGTCCTATTGATTATATCTCTGTTTTGTGTTTGGGCTTAGCAAAGGTCAGAAGTGCCTAACCAAAAATATTACATATTGAACCAAAGATGTATAAAACAAGTGGTTCAATATTTTGTATCATAAGATTCTCCTGAGTATTATTTGCCTTACAAAAATGAATACAAACTATAAATAATATAACTCATCCACAAATTATTAATTTGTTACATACACATCATTCCCAGCTGCACAATTTAGATAAGCGTTTTTTTCCACTTAACTGTAAATACTTACAGAACTGTTCACATATTTTCTTTGGAAATGGACTTGGTTGAAATTTAAGACAAAATTTATAACATAATTTTTCTGAGTCTCAGAACTTAAAGGGCACTTACTTTTTTTGAAGTAATTTTACAAAGCTAGTCTGTACATAACAGTTACAGGTTTTCTAGATGCTGGTCTAGTATCAGATATCACTTAAAACTGTGCTTTATACTAGAGGTAGAATTCATGATCCAAAATATGGCTTGAATTACCAAACACACTAGCAAATAATGGCTGAAATAATTCTATCTAGTTTGTTGGTTATCTGAATGTACAATATCCATATTCAACCACCATATAATCATAAACCACATGTATCTATGGGACAGAGAGTGGTATAGCCTACAAGGATTGGCAGCAATCCTGAACTTTTTATTTCTTGTATTGCATATTAGCTTGTTCCTTGTGCATGGAATTTTCTTTCTGGCTTTCTAGTTATTTCACTTTAAGAAAATGTTGCTATGTTTTTTTTAATGTCCTACTTTCTGGCTTCCTTATTCATCTTTCATCTCATTTGCCTTCTATCTTCTGGCCAGTTAAGTTTCCCTTTCCCTTCCTACTCCTTTCTCTCATATATAACGTATCACTGAGATCATGACCTTTGCAAACAACTGTTTTACAGGTATTTTTTAATATAGTACTCTGTGCACATTAGGCACTTCCATCAATATACAAATACGACTATTAGTCACTACAATGGAATGGTCAACTAGTAGAAAGCAGATAAAATTCCTATACCATATCAAACTAGGATGACTAACCTATATTCCACAGGCCACATATGGCTTCCAGTTCCCAATTTGCAGCCTCCCATCGTGCTGCCCCAGATTATAGCAATATGTACAATTGTTCTCACCACAAACTATTATAGCACTTATCACTAGATAAAATGTTAAAATGGAGGAACTACATCAACACATTTGGCTTTGCACATTGCATGTAACCATAGCTTTGCCTACAGCTTTTGGACATCACATTAATGTAAAAATACTGCAACTCTCAAATCAAAAGTTTACAGTACTCGTCCTCAATGCTATAATTTGGTTTATTTGATTTAATTTGCTTGTGGCAGGGTGTTTATTTTTTTTATTACTGAACGTATGTATACCTCACTTTTCTGCTTATATAAGCACTCTAGATGCCTTACAATCTCAATTCAGCCCCTATGGTTTGTAAACCACAATGTTCATTATAGTGAATGAACTCTACCAACTGTGGTTTATTCAACAAACCTCAGTTATTGAGCACACCATGACCAACCATGGCTAAACACAATATGTGAGCCAAGTAAAAGTGAAAGAGAGAAGATAGAAAGTTACAAGTGCATTTATTGAGGGAGGAATAATGCAGAGCCAAAATCATAAAATCCAGAAAATCCTAGCAAGAGTAATCATTTGATCACAAACATTTCACAAACATTGAAGAAACTGCATAGCAACCGAAGAAATTGAATCAGCAGTCTATTTCTATTACAGATTCAAATATATTTTTATTAAAAATTTTGCAGAATAAGTGAAATATCATTATGTTACCTTAACTTTGTCAAGTTCTGCCTTTGAACATGTTGCATGATAAGACAGCACCTGATCCAGAACAAATGGGAGGGAGGGGGGAGAAAGAGAAATGGTTACAGGTGAGAAGCTAAATTAGTCTTCTTAAGCCGTCAAGGAAGTGAATATTACAATGGTTTATTAGTATCTCTGCAATATATATTATCCATGAAACTACTTACCCTGGTGGACCCAATTTTAAAGAAAACTAGAATGCCCATGGTTCTACTTCTAGATTAATACAGCTACTCATCTATGCCTACTTTGAGTTTTTAAGTCTTTTCAGCCTTATTTGCAAGGCAAATTAATAAATAAGTTATTTGAATTATTTTTGATCCTGGCAATAGTACCAACCACCACTGTACAGAGATATAACTGCCCGGGGAAAAGTATCCTGAAAAACTGAGGGGCTGCTGAGAGGCACCAAACATTTTCTGGGGTTGTTGTTTTTTTTTGACAAATCTTAAAAATGTTTCCTAATAGTTTGTTTTTAAAAGTTGAATTAAATGATTGAGGTATGTATAGAAACTACTCATACCAAATTAAGAAATTAGATAACAGTCTAAAAGAGTTTTTAAAAAAACTCTTAAAATCTGTCTCACTTTGCAGGAATAAAACTGTAATAATGAGCCGATGATTTAGACACTTTTTTACATGGCACAATGTTTCTTCTGTTTCTTCAGTCTATTCTTTTTAATAAAAAAATTGTTTTCTTCACTTGTTTAATAGAGAGGAAGTCAAAGTTCAGTATACATAACTTTTTTTTGTTTTCTTTTGTTTCTATTTTCAATATTAATTTCTTTCCAGTCTGCTCTTCCTGTTCATTTTCTATATGCTAGGACCCTACACACTGCAACAATTCAATACTTGTATATATATATTGGCATTGTTGCCTTCTTACCAACCCCTTTCCAAATATATATATATATCATCCTTCAAATCAGTCTCATAAAAAGCTTTTAAAAAAAAAAAGCCTGATTTTCAATAATACTTACATCAAGAGCCACAGATTGCTTTGCCCAGGACTTCTTCACTTGGTCATACATTATAGTATTATTGATGCCCAAGCCACAAAATATAACAAAAGCCTAAAAAAAATGAAAAAAAGAAATCTAGCTTTAATATAGGTGATTTCAAAATCTAATAATACTGAATGGAATAAAGAAAGCAACGTTCTGGTTCCTAGGATGTGTATGAAATAGAAAACACATATTGTGTGAGCTCAGAACAAAACAGTCCCATTTGAAATGCTACTGTGTTTACAGCTCAAGGAAACATGGAAACAATTAAGTTCTTCCTTCTCAGGACTGTATGAATGCACAGAGTGGCAGTCTATGCAGATTTTGGCATGTCAGTTTGCAGAAAGATTAGTCAAGTGTTAATTTTTTTAAAAACCCCAAAATGAGAAAGAAATTTGAAATGTCCTATACAGGTTTCAGAGATTCTTGTCCAGGGGGCAAGGGGGAGTGCTGACTTTTTCCCTATTTATTGTGGGTTTTCTTATAGAGAGTCAGCAACACGTACCACCTGACATCACAATTCTTATTTTTCACTTTCAAGATGAGGTTTTATCTTTTTTGGCAGCCTTGCAATAGCTAGCTTATGAACATAAGAACGAACAAACAAATATGCTTCTCCATACTGGAATGAAAGAAAGAAAGAAAGAAAGAAAGGAAGGAAGGAAGGAAGGAAGGATTGCAGGGAAGAAATCTTACAAGGAAAATACAAAATTGCTTCCCTAGACACTGGTGCTTAGTTTATCTTCTAAAAACTCAGCTTCTCAGAAAAAGAACAAGAATGAGTCATGCATGTATGCTTGATTGGGGAAAAAACAACCCCTTTTTACTCCAAATGCCAAAGAAACAAATACTGGACATCGCAAGATCTTTTTATAGCAAAATACATCATAGCCTGCATCACTATTGCACAGAAACATGAACAGAGTTCAAGCCCTCAGCAAAACTCTGAGCAGAGTTCAAGCCCTCAGCAAAACTCTTAGGCTGCATTAACAGAGGGATAGAATCAAGATCACGTGAAGTGTTAATACCACTTTACAATGCCTTGGTAAGGACACACTTGGAATACTGCATCCAGTTTTGGTCACCACGATGTAAAAAAGATGCTAAGACTCTAGAAAGAGTAAAGAGAAGAACAACAAAGATGATTAGGGGACTGGAGGCTAAAGCATATAAGGAACGGTTGCTGGAATTGGGTATGTCTAGTTTAACGAAGAGAAGGACGAGGGGGAACATGATAGCAGTGTTCCAATATCTCAGGGGCTGCCACAAAGAAGAGGGAGTCAAGCTATTTTCCAAAGCATCTGAAGGCAGGACAAGAAGCAACAGATGGAAACTGATCAAGGAGAGAAGCAACCTAGAACTAAGGAGAAACTTCCTGACAGTTAGAACAATTAACCAGTGGAACAACCTGCCTCCAGAAGCGGTGAAAACTCAACAATTATTAGCTGAAACCAACTAGTACAGACTTTTTATATGAGTTTGGTGCCCTACAAGCTCAATAAATTATGGATGGTTGCATAGACAGACATATGTTTAGACTGGATTTGGCATCTTTATCCACCGATGGAGCCCAAGAACCTAAGATAGGCAGATATTGTTTAATAATATTAAAGGTATAATTATTACATTATACGTGTTTCATATGCAAACATAATTATTTTTAAGCCAAAATGGAAGAGCAAAGTTTGGTGTTTTTAGAATAGCAGATTCAACCTTCCATTTCAGTGTTACTATTTAGTTGTCTCATTATCACTCAAACAAATGCCGAAGCACACTACAGCAACACAGGTTCTAAAGATAACTGCCACCACTAATATACAGGTAGTCCTCGAATTACAACAACAGTTCATTTAGTGACCGTTCAAAGTTACAACTGACCATTCTTCACGCTTACGACTGTTGCAGCATCCCCATGGTCACATGATTTACATTCGGATGCTTGGCAGCTGACTCACATTTATGACGGTTGCAGTGTCCCGGAGTCATGTGATCGCCTTTTGCGACCTTCTGACAAGCAAAGTCAGTGGGGGAAGCCAGATTTACTTAACCATGTTACTAATTTAACAACTGCAGTGATTCACTTAACAAATGTGGCAAGGAAAGTTGTAAAATGGGGCAAAGCTCACTTAACAAAACATAAATTTGAGGCTCAGTTGTGGTCATAAGTTGAAGTTGTACTGAAATCAGGTAATCCAAGAAGATTCTATTAGATTTTTTTACTTGCCACACGTGTTACAGGAAGATGTCATGTATAGAAATATATATGCTGCAGTGAATATTATGTAATTAAACTGCATCAATTTGACATATCTTACCTCAAAGAGCCGCTGATCAGCATCATCAAAAGGTTTTCCATCAAGTCTATTCAGCACCTGAGCAACCCCTTCATAAGGAATTAGCAAGCATAGTTAATTTTATATTTTAAAGGAAACTGTGTATTCACAATGATAAACCATATACATAAATAAATTAATAAAGGAGATATGCCACAAAACAAGAACTCAAAATTCAAAAACCATAAAGCATAATACTTGCATTATAAATTATAAGTGCTATTATACCAACAGCCTCTGATACTGGATTACTAATATATTCATCAAAGCTTGAATTCAGCTGAATGAAACAACTCGAAATAGTAGCTCCCCCCCTTCCATACTGGCTGAATTAGATTTAGCTCTGAGTGTCAAACTTCATGTCAACTTATTGTACAAATATTCTTTGTGTATCGCGTTTTTTAACATAACAAATTCCATGAGACAATAAATTATAATTAATTTGGAAGCGGAGCGATCTGTTGCTTGCCAATCTTCTTTTCTTCCTAATCCTCTTTTAAGTACTGCTGGATCAGTCGTTAAAACGTCAGAAATAGGCTTTTGTTTATTTTTTCAAGCAGAATTTTATTTATTTTACCATTAATGATTAATAAATTAATCACTAAAACAGCCAATAGTAAAGTTTTGTTACAGTTCTAGATTGTTTGTTTTCTAGATTGTTTTATACCATTTTATACGGACATGCACAATATCAATTATAAATTTAATTTGCAAATGTACAAAAGAACAATTTCTTATTATTACAGTACTACTGTAGTAATTGATAGTGAACTATATCATATCAACATATTAACACGTTTTATATTTAAAAAGTATTTTTAGTATCTTACCAATTATTTGGTGACTGTTATTCCATATAGGTACGCAGAGTACAGATCTTATGTGAAAACCAGACATCTGATCAACCTAGATAAAAAAATTTCATCAACTATCATAACGTATGATTTAGTCTTAATCCAAAAGGTATATAGATAGCCCTTGATTTAGGACCACAATTGGGAACACAACTTCTATCACTAATTGAGAAGAGTTACAGCTGATTTACAAACTTTTTGCCACAGTCATTAAGTAAATCCTGCAGTAACTAAGCAAATCCAGCTTTTCCCATTGACTTTGCTTGTTGGAAGCTGTCTGGGAAGGTCACAAATGAAGATCATGTGACCCTAGGTCACTACACCATCATAAATACACACTGGTTGCCAAATGCCAAATTTTGATTGTGTTACAACTAGGTGCTGTGACAGTTGTAAATGTGAGGATCACTTGTAAGTCGTTTTTTTCAGCACTGTCGTAACTTTGAACAGTTGCTAAATAAATGGTCGTAAGTTGAGGACTACCTGTACCATCATTCCATTGCATATTTGAAAAAAAAGTGCTTCAATACTAGGCAAAATGATATGGATCTATGCAACTTAATTGAACACATCTCAGTTGTACTGAAAATCTTTTCTTCTTGAACTTTGGTGATCCTTTTTTTTAATCTGTTTTGTATTTTAATAGTCTTTGCTGCTTTTTATCATTTTAAGCAATAATTTATGGTATATGGAGTTCAACCTGTGATTTCTGCTGTGCTATAAATGAAGTAGTTGCTGGACCCATTACTAACAAACATTATAAATAAGTTTCCAAAAGGTTAAAGGCACTTCACAACTAAACTATATAATAAATTTACTTGCAATTCAAGAAGTGCAGGAAAGGAACAAAAACAAAATCTGATGGCAAATCTCAGTTCTTAGCTTTCTTTTATATTAATCAGATGTTATTTTAATAATAAAGAATTTTTGTCTTCAATAATCATTGTTCCTGAAAAATTGACTTTGGAGATTAAATATTAAAGAGCACCACAATAGCATGAAGAATTAATTATTGCTTCTTCTGCCTCATAAAAAACAATATTCTTTCTCCAAATAAGTTGACAGCATTTTTATTAATGCACTCTTTAAGGGAATGTAAAACAAAAATTAATCAGCTGCATTACATATTAATCAAAAGAGCATATGTGAAATTGTAATTCTACATTCAGTAAGAATATTATACGCTTTATTCCAGCTTGCCTTTTGGCAGGAAATATTGCCTAGGCATTAATGTCATCTTCTCAACAACTGAATTTATTACCTCCATCAGTTTTCTCTATAAAATGGTTCTGAGCACTTATTTCAAATATAATAAAAAAATCTATTATGAAGGCTTTTAGAGACGTTCCTTGATAGACTTCCTATAAACAGAAGACTTTGTAAAAATGTCACTTTTGCTCTTTTAGCTTTGTATGGATTGAACTGCTGTAAATTCTCACCTAATTCTGCACCAGGCTCCCACCCACAAAGACACTCAAACTAAACTATTTTAGGGCTCTTTGAATAAAGTAAAGGAATTAAAAATGCTATAATTGTAGGAAATTTTGATACTTGCAGCATCTACTGTCAATTGTGAGCTGGTATTTCCAAAAAATAATGAAGGCTAAGAAACTGTGCAATGGAGCAAAACCTTAATGGACTGATTTGAATTGACCAGGCAATTACTTTGATGCAAAGATCCAATCCTTATTTTAAGTATGGCTAAATCAAATGGAGAAAAGATGCATTCAGAACGCAAATCTTCAAAAGTATTGGGGATGGGTGGGAGAGCAAAGGATCAAGAGGCAATCATGACCATGCAATTGAAGCCCCATCCCATGTATATGTGTGGAAGTTCAATACATGTGCAGAAGGGTTGTGGATTCAAATATGTGGTCACCAGCACCATCTTGACTTTTTTTTTAAAACACACCATGAGGATGTTTCTTTAAATCTTGTAATTTCTTCCAGGTCTGTGATCAAATCACAAAAGGTATTCAGCTGCCATTACATTTGATAAACATGATTACCTATTAAAAAGCTATTGGGGTACTTATATAGGTCAAAAATGTCTTACTTCTGCATCAAAGCGAGGATCCTGATAAGCATCACTGTTGTTCACTGGAAGGCCGGTGGAAGCTACAAGTTCGGCAATGCTATTATTCACTAGCCAGTCTGAATAAGATGCTGATGGTTTCTCCAAATTGTCTTTGAAACTATTAAAAAGAGCAAGGGAAAAAAGAATGTAGTCACTATTGGTTGAAGACCGACTTTAATATATATATATAGAAACCATGATCTTGTTTCAGAGTAACCTTTAAAATTTCAGAGCAGCTTAATTGCGTTTAGATAATAAAAAATGGGCAGATAACTTGGATTTATTTGCTCTCAATATTTATATCTATACACAACTGGGGGAAATTGTTAGAGTGACACAGAAAAATGATTTGCATTTTCCTTTAGTTATGCCTTTTACTCTATTTTGTAACACACTGTCTTATTATTATTCTATATGGCCTATTGTCTAATCAATAAATAATAATAACAACCACCACCACCACCTAGTTCAGGGGTTGGCAACCGTGGCTCTTTTATGACTCGTGGACTTCAACTCCCAGAATTCCTGAGCCAGCAGGACCTAGTTTCTTCTAAAGAACTCAGTGCATATAAGGGCCAACACCAGTTAAAGAACCAGCAACTATGACTTGACATGGTTGTGAACAAATAAATAATAAGTGTGGGATTTCCAAATATAGGAATGAAGGCGAATATATATGTCCCAGGATAACGTTGCAGGATCCAATCTGAGTTGGTCACCAGGACCAGAAGTTTAGTCTTCTGAGCTTTCAGACTCATGCTAGAGCCCATCCTCAGGGAATTTCTCTCTTGGAGAGTGTGTGCTTGGGCTATTCTGCGTGTATTAATATGGTGCCTGTTGCGTATGAGTCTTTAAATGTTGATTGATGTGTTGATGCTGGCTATAAAGTCATTGGTTGTTGTTTCCTTGTGCTACCAAGCCCTCCTAAATACTTGATAAGCTGGTGGTAAATTAGCACTTCTGTTGACTTGACGAGGGGCCCATTTCCCAGGCTTCAATCACTTCCCTTGGCTACTTTTGTGGCTGCTCATCCAACAATCNACTGGATTACTAATATATTCATCAAAGCTTGAATTCAGCTGAATGAAACAACTCGAAATAGTAGCTCCCCCCCTTCCATACTGGCTGAATTAGATTTAGCTCTGAGTGTCAAACTTCATGTCAACTTATTGTACAAATATTCTTTGTGTATCGCGTTTTTTAACATAACAAATTCCATGAGACAATAAATTATAATTAAATTTGGAAGCGGAGCGATCTGTTGCTTGCCAATCTTCTTTTCTTCCTAATCCTCTTTTAGATACTGCTGGATCAGTAGTTAAAACATCAGAAATAGGCTTTTGTTTATTTTTTCAAGCAGAATTATATTTATTTTTAGTATATTTTAGTATATTTAGTATATTAGTATATTTAGTATATATGGTAATTAATAATTAATAAATTAATTACTAAAACAGCCAATAGTAAAGTTTTGTTACAGTTCTAGATAGTTTGTTTTCTAGATTATTTTATACCATTTTATACAGACATGCACAATATCAATTATAAATTTAATTTGCAAATATATAAAACAGTTTCTTATTATTACAGTACTACTGTAGTAATTGATAGTGAACTATATCATATCAACACATTAACACATGTATTATATTTAAAAAGTATTTTTAGTATCTTACCAATTATTTGGTGACTGTTATTCCATATAGGTACGCAGAGCACAGATCTTATGTGAAAACCAGACATCTGATCAACCTAGATAAAAAAATTTAATCAACTACCATAATATAAGATTTAGTCTTAATCCAAAAGGTATACAGGTAGCCCTTGACTTAGGACCACAATTGGGAACACAACTTCTATCACTAAGTGACATGGTTATTAGAAGAATTGCAGCTGATTTACAAACTTTTTGCTGCAGTCATTAAGCAAATCCTGCAGTAATTAAGCAAATCCAGCTTTTCTCATTGACTTTGCTTGTTGGAAGCTGTCTGGGAAGGTCACAAATGAAGATCATGTGACCCTAGGTCACTACACCATCATAAATACACACTGGTTGCCAAATGCCAAATTTTGATTGTGTTACAACTAGGTGCTGTGACAGTTGTAAATGTGAGGATCACTTATAAGTCAGTTTTTTCAGCACTGTCGTAACTTTGAACAGTTGCTAAATAAATGGTCGTAAGTTGAGGACTACCTGTACCATCATTCCATTGCATATTTGAAAAAAAAAAGTGCTTCAATACTAGGCAAAATGCTATGGATCTATGCATTTTAATTGAACACATCTCAATTGAACTGAAAATCTTTTCTTCTTGAACTTTGGTGATCCTTTTTTTTAATCTGTTTTGTATTTTAATAGTCTTTGCTGCTTTTTATCATTTTAAGCAATAATTTATTGTATATGGAGTTCAACCTGTGATTTTTGCTGTGCTGTAAATGAAGTAGTTGCTGGACCCATTACTAACAAACATTATAAATAAGTTTCCAAAAGGTTAAAGGCACTTCACAACTAAACTATATAATAAATTTACTTGCAATTCAAGAAGTGCAGGAAAGGAACAAAAACAACATCTGATGGCAAATCTCAGTTCTTAGCTTTCTTTTATACTAATCAGATGTTATTTTAATAATAAAGAATTTTTGTCTTCAATAATCATTGTTCCTGAAAAATTGACTTTGGAGATTAAATATTAAAGAGCAACACAACAGCATGAAGAATTAATTATTGCTTCTTGTGCCTCATAAAAAACAATATTCTTTCTCCAAATAAGTTGACAGCATTTTTATTAATGCACTCTTTAAGGGAATGTAAAACAAAAATTAATCAGCTGCATTACATATTAATCAAAAGAGCATATGTGAAACTGTAATTCTACATTCAATAAGGATATTATATGCTTTATTCCAGCTCGCCTTTTGGCAGGAAATATTGCCTAGGCATTAATGTCATCTTCTCAACAACTGAATGTATTACCTCCATCAGTTTTTCTCTATAAAATGGTTCTGAGCACTTATTTCAAATATAATAAAAAAATCTATTATGAAGGCTTTTAGAGACGTTCCTTGATAGACTTCCTATAAACAGAAGACTTTGTAAAAATGTCACTTTTGCTCTTTTAGCTTTGTATGGATTGAACTGCTGTAAATTCTCACCTAATTCTGCACCAGGCTCCCACCCACAAAGACACTCAAACTAAACTATTTTAGGGCTCTTTGAATAAAGTAAAGGAATTAAAAATGCTATAATTGTAGGAAATTTTGATACTTGCAGCATCTACTGTCAATTGTGAGCTGGTATTTCCAAAAAATAATGAAGGCTAAGAAACTGTGCAATGGAGCAAAACCTTAACGGACTGATTTGAATTGACCAGGCAATTACTTTGATGCAAAGATCCAATCCTTATTTTAAGTATGGCTAAATCAAATGGAGAAAAGATGCATTCAGAACGCAAATCTTCAAAAGTATTGGGGATGGGTGGGAGAGCAAAGGGTCAAGAGGCAATCATGACCATGCAATTGAAGCCCCATCCCATGTATATGTGTGGAAGTTCAATACATGTGCAGAAGGGTTGTGGATTCAAATATGTGGTCACCAGTACCATCTTGACTTTTTTTAAAACACACTATGAGGATGTTTCTTTAAATCTTGTAATTTCTTCCAGGTCTGTGATCAAATCACAAAAGGTATTCAGCTGCCATTACATTTGATAAACATGATTACCTATTAAAAAGCTATTGGGGTACTTATATAGGTCAAAAATGTCTTACTTCTGCATCAAAGCGAGGATCCTGATAAGCATCACTGTTGTTCACTGGAAGGCCGGTAGAAGCTACAAGTTCAGCAATGCTATTATTTACTAGCCAGTCTGAATAAGATGCTGATGGTTTCTCCAAATTGTCTTTGAAACTATTAAAAAGAGCAAGGGAAGAAAGAATGTAGTCACTATTGATTGAAGATCGACTTTATTATATATATAGAAACCATGATCTTGTTTCAGAGTAACCTTTAAAATTTCAGAACAGCTTAATTGCATTTAGATAATAAAAAATGGGCAGATAACTTGTATTTATTTGCTCTCAATATTTATATCTATACACAACTGGGGAAAATTGTTAGAGTGACACAGAAACATGATTTGCATTTTCCTTTAGTTATGCCTTTTACTCTATTTTGTAACACATTGTCTTATTATTATTCTATATGGCCTATTGGCTAATCAGTAAATAATAACAACCACCACCATCACCTAGTTCAGGGGTAGGCAACCTTGGCTCTTTTATGACTCGTGGACTTCAACTCCCAGAATTCCTGAGCCAGCCATGCTGGCTCAGGAATTCTGGGAGTTGAAGTCCGCGAGTCATAAAAGAGCCAAGGTTGCCTACCCCTGAACTAGTTTCTTCAAAAGAACTCAGTGCATATAAGAGCCAACACCAGTTAAAGAACCAGCAACTACGACTTGACATTTTTGTGAACAAATAAATAATAAGTGTGGGATTTCCAAATATAGGAATGAAGGCGAATATATATGTCCCAGGATAATGTTGCAGGATCCAATCTGAGTTGGTCACCAGGACCAGAAGTTTAGTCTTCTGAGCTTTCAGACTCATGCTAGAGCCCATCCTTAGGGAATTTCTCTCTAGGAGAGTGTGTGCTTGGGCTATTCTGCGTGTATTTATACTGTATGGTGCCTGTTGTCATACTCAGAAATTTACAACTAACTACACAACTACGACCGATATTTCAGTAACCAACAACAAAGGAACACGATGGTTCGGGAGGATTTATGAACTATTCGACCACCATTTAATCGTGAAGACAACTGAACTGCTCCCCGGGTAAAGGGTCCGAAGTTAGTGAAGGGAACCGATGAAAACACCGACGAGTAGGTTGTTAGTTTGAAGCTGCAAAACTGAAGGCATGCCCTTGTTCACTGCAATGTGAGAGATCAGATACAATAGTCTGTGGCTCTATTACTCATTCCCTCAGATCAGTCACATATCTCAAGCTTGAGGTAAAATTCTTAAATCCTGGGCTATGTTTGAAGATTTCTTTCATCTCTCTCACACACTTCTATTACTCTTAAATGCATAGTTTTCTAGAGTCCACAGGCATCTGTTTTCTGCCTGCCACTTATTCCAACTTGCAGCTCATATTTCTCCCAGACAAGGCTAGAAGTAAACCTTTGAATGACTTAGAAGAAACATTTGTATTTGGTAAACACATCTCCCCAGCAATGTAGATTAGTCACCATCAAGGGAAGAAACTGTCCATTCCAAAAGCAATCTGTTGGGGGGGGGGGGGGGAAGGCTCTTACAATTTGTTTTTGCTTCTCTTTAATCCTTTATTTCTCTTTTTTGCTATTATTTACCTTGGCTAAATATAATGGCATCAGGGGTGTCCTTAGTCCTGACTCAAATATGTTGTATCCTGATAATTTGATTTCTTGGAACTAGCTAATAAAGGTTTACTTTATCTTATCTCCCCCTTATTCTTGATTTCTTTAAAAAAATTTCTGTCTTGGTATCACCTTTTTATTTATCTCATTGAAAAACACTACTAATCTCATAGTTCCACAGAGGCAAAGATTGTTGTTAGAACACACATATATTTATTCTAATGTTAGTTTACTTTTCTGTCATATTCTCATCTTGTTTATTCATTGTTTTATTACAAAATATTAACACAGAACTGATTGATGAAGGGTCTTTTTTCTCTTCCCTACCCTCTTTGGAATTATAGTAAAACTAATATTCTTTTTATAATCCTTCATTTTTATTTAAACTGATCGTAGGTATAGAACTTACTAACAAAAGGAATTTATCTCCATATTTATCATGTTGCACTAGTGTGATTTCTACAACAGTGCAGCATATGTTGAATTGAAAGGTAGGATTACAGGCAAGAGCGAACTAGGACCTGTTTTTCAGGCCTTGTCTGATAATGAAATTTATGGAAGTCAATCATACAGCTGTATTTCACAGCAATAAGATTTGACTGACAGACCAGAAGGACCAAATCCAAATCGAGGTCAATTCCCAGCCAGACTTACTGGATCTGAGATGCTTTCTTTATGGAATTTGGCTTTTCATTTAAATACACAATGCCCCATCAATAAACTCCAGATCATAATCTAAATTGTATCCTTTGCTTTTCAAATAAAGAACTCAGAAATCTGTACTTGAATAAAATATTACTGAAAACAAAACCTAGTCTCAAAAATAACATAAAAGATGCATCTACAGTTTTCTCTAGCCACTTCTTTCTATCCTGAAACCTTCCTTCTTTCCCTCACAATGTCTAAATAAAAGAAAGAATAACTAGGGGCAAAATATATTACGTTCTGTTGTTCCATTTTCAGGATCCTGAAAAAAAGGATTCCAAATCTGTTTTTTTTCAACAACTTTCTTTCCATGATTGATTGCTCTATATAACACACTCAAGGATTACTGCATATTACTAAAGATATGTAGAAAGAACACGAATGTCAAATGTTTCCGATGCAAATTATTCAAAAAAGATTACAATAACCAAATCCAGAAGACATCAGAATCCCTAATAAGTTTAGCTAGAACAGAATTGGAATCTCCATTGGGAAAAAAAATTAAGGCAAACAGAAAGAGACACATAGGAAAAAAAGGTGATTAGGGCAGAAATTACATGGTCAAGGCAAATTTTTCAGATTCAACACTACTTTGCAGTGTTTTATGTTATAGTGAATAGCAGCCCAACGTTCTTAGCTTGTGTTCCAAGAACAGTATCTATGTCAAATTTATTTCTGGACTTTTATTTCTACATAAAAGTTAGAACCAAATGTACATGCTAAATATTCTTAGGAATTATATAAGTCAAGCTACATACTGCAACAATTTCCCAAATTTCAATGAATCCCTAGATCTGCACCTTTTGTCTTATGCTAAACATATCTTCATTTCTCCCCACTGCTCTCTTTGTAATATGTTGTATATGAGATACAGAGACCTTACATAAACCTGGCCAAATAAGTATTAAAAGTATTTCAAGTATTAAAAATCTGGCTTTTTTTTTTTAAAGAGGTGATTTAATTAGTACTCATCTTGTCATTAAGGCACTCCACTATTTAAGCTGGGGGGGGGGTGGCAGGAGAGAAGAAACAGCCCAAAATTTTAAACTACCATGATAATGTTTGCACAGCTAAATAATATTTTCATTGCTAAAAATGAAATAGAAATAACCCAAAATGCATGGAAGTTGGCTGGAAGGAAGAAGATTGTATAGCTCTTCAATAATCACATCAATCAACCTATCGATACGATGAAAGCATCTTCAATTTGTTGAAGCTAAGTAACATGGATGTGATTAATAAACTAGATGAAGTCCATATGGAATGCCCTTGACAGAAGGAGACTTAATCAAATCTTTTAGATAGCTAATTATGCTAAAATAACATTTCATGTAATCATGTCACAGTTGTGCAACTGTTTCCCACATAACAGAAATTCAACCAATTACACCATCTGAAGAATAATAATATTTTCTCTTCTACAACATATTGAGCTCAAGTGCATTAAAATATATAATGCTCTTACAACAGTAGAACAAAAGGAAGGAAATTATGATAGCTGGGTGTTAACAAATGAAAAATTGTGCAAATAATTAAATAAATAAAAAGGATCTCTTATCTGGATTTCTAGAATGAAGGTGAACTTGAAAGAGCTTTTCAGAGACAGAATTTTGTCCTATAATCTAGGTTTTATTCCGAAAAAGAAGATTAATTATAAAAGAATAAAATCTAACCTATTTTCTGTATCAGCTATGCACTTTGGAGACATCAATTCAAAGGACTTGGTAAATTTTACCTCCTGTTAAGATAAAAAAATGTGCAAATGTCATACATTGCCAATTTATTATATAACGTTAGAAAAATACACAATCACATTATAACAAATAAACACGTGCCCTATTTATACTTAAATCATAAAGCACATTCTTTTAATCCTATTTATGTAACATAATCCTTATCTACTGTGAAATTATTACTAATCTGGCCTAGAAACCAGGAGATGGTAATCTAGTCCTGCCTCTGGCAAAAAAGTCAGGTGGGTGACTTTGAATCAGTCACTCTCTCGCAGCCCAACCCACTTCAGGAATATTATGTACTGTATATCTGCCACCTTGAGTTACTTATAAAGTAATAAAGGTGGGATAAAAATGTAATGAACAGAACAGAACAGAATAGAACAATTATTCCAAAGTATGATTTCAAGATAACCAAGTCTGTCTTGAGTATTGTTTTTGTTACTTGAGTACCTCCATGTAATGTGAAGTGAAATATTTTATAGTACTTTTCTTTTGAAAAGCATTTTAAAATATTCTTTCTGTATCTTTTTACACTTATCTTTTTCTTCAGTTTAGCACTTAAAAGAGCATATATAAAATTCCCAGACAGCATCTTATTCTGTCAATCACACCCAGATCTAAAGTTAGCTTCACTTCAACTTACTCTACACCAGTGGTGGCGAACCTATGGCACGGGTGCCAGAGGCGGCACTCAGAGTCCTCTCTGTGGGCACGCGCGCCGTGGCCCCACTCCTAGGCCTTCAGCTGAGTTTTATAAAACCTTTTCGCTTTAGGCCTCTGCTGCCATGTGCAAAAAAAAAAAAAAAGGTTCAATCAATTTCAACTTCTCGCGGGAAAAAAAAAGATCTTGCAAAGTTGGAATTGATTGATTGAACTTTTTAGTCCCACCCAGTCTTCCGTTACCACTGCAGCCACGCCCACCCAATGGGCCACACCCAGCCAATGGGCCACACCCACCCGGCACTCAACGATGCATAAGTGGGTTTTGGGTTGCAGTTTGGGCACTCGGTCTCTAAAAGGTTCGCCATCACTGCTCTACACTGTGCTTTCTAACTATTCTCAATAACAACTTATGACCTTAATAGGGAAATTCCTTACAATCACTGACACAATATATGCTCAATACCCTAGCTCTTATTGTAAGTATCCACAGTGGAAAGTAAGTGATAAAACATTTTGACATCCTAATACAATCCCCATGATTTACATGACGTTATCAGATATCAGCAAACAGGATTAAAAAACAGGATTTTCATTATGTATTGCACACATATAATCATTCCTTTATCGCCATGGTTGCTGCAGATACCTATGGCTTTTATAGCAGTACATTATAAGGGACTGTGATATGTTAATTGAAGTTTGGAGTACTGAGTGGACATTTAAGGCTACTTGGGACTGCCTTGAAGAACAGTCAGAAGCTTTAAGCAGCCAAGGAAGAACAGTTATGGGCATGTCTCAATATGTCTATGTGACACCCCTGCTTTGCAAGCTGCATTGATTGCCAGCTTGCTTCTGGGTGCAATCAAAGTGCCAGTTATGACCTTACACTGCATAGGGCCTATTTATTAGAGGGTCACCTATGTCCCATGGTGTCCCATGGTGTCTGCATCAATATTAGTGCATTTCAGGTTCTTTCAATTAAACAAGGTCATCTATCAGGACCCAGGAAACACAACTTCTCTGTCACAGTGCCTGCCACCTGGAATGAAAATGTAGGATCCAATCTGGTTTGGTCACCGAGAAAAGAGGCTTAGTCTTCTGAGCTTTCGGATTCGTGCTGGAACCCACCTTCAGGGAACTTCTCTCTCATCAGAATGTGTACACCAACCGAAATTGGATCCTAGAACATTATCCTGGGACATATATATTTTCCTTTGTTTGTGGAATGAAATCCCCTCAGATCTGAATGTCTCCCACCCTGTTTGCTTTCCAAAGACCTATAAAGGCCTGGTTTTCCACCCAGGCCTTGGGCTAGAGTGGCTGGTGTACCATTTGCAGGATGTTAGTTACTGGTGGGATGTTTGGGGGTTAGCTGTTTTGGTCTTCTTTCTTTTTCTTTTCCAAACCTGGTTTCATTGTGTGTGGGTTCTATTATTATTTTTATATTGTTTACTATAGTGTGAACCAAATATATAAATAAATTGGAGTCTGAACCTAAATGTTAGACCAGGGCTTTTCAACCAGTGGTACGGGTACCACCTGTGGTACATTGGCACCTGGCAGGTGGTACGCGACCATCCTAGAAAAGTGGTAGTGGGGGAGGGGAATGAGCTGAACCGGTGGCAACACCGCATAAGCCTGAGCGAGAGATGGCTGGAGCTGCAGGGCTGTCAGGGCTCAGCGGAAGTGCCAGGATCAGCGCCAGGCTCCAGCTGGAGCTCGGCGCTGATCCTTGTGCTTCTCCTGAGCCTTGAAGAAGCACCAATCGGCTGGAATGTTGCAGCATCTCCAGGTCTTGTGATTTACATTCAGATGCTTGGCAACTGATTCATATTTATGACGGTCACAGTGTCCCAAGGTCAGCTGAAGTGACCAAAACCTACTGCAACCACCACCCAGCAGATGGGGGGAATAAAAACCAAACACCCCCCCACCCCACCCCCGCTGCCAATCCTCAACAGAAATGATCACAACAATGAAAACTTCGGACAGGAGGAAGAGCGCAGCCGGGCGGGCAGGCAGGTGTCTTGCTCGGCTGTGGCTTGGGGGGCACTTTTTTCAGTGCCATTGTAACTTCGAACAGTCACTAAGCGAACTGTTGTAAGTCGAGGACTACCTGTACTTTATCACTTTTTTGGGGGGGGTCATCAAGTTTTTGACACCTTGCTAGGCAACTGGTGGTACTCGGATGTTGCCATATTCTAAAAGTGGTACAATGGGTGAAAAGATTGAAAAGCCCTGTGTTAGACTACCAGTGTATCAAATTTTAAACTAATTTAAAGTAGCTTTTAAGGTACCAATCAGAGAATTATTCAGATGTGCCAGGAATTGTAATTGCAATGTTATGTACGTCCTGACATTAAACTATGACTACACTGACCATACTTTCCTGGAAAAAATAAAGGACAAACCTGAAAAAGGGGCAAATCTGAAAGAGGTTCATAAGGATCAAAGCAAAATTGTTTATGACATTGCTTTACAAAGGAAAATTCAAGAGCAAAACAAAAAAATCTAAAGGACAGCTTTCTGAAATAAAGGAGTATCCTTTATAATACAGAACGTACGGTCATTCTAATTATGACCCTTTCCCAAAGCTCAGTAAAACAAAGGTTGTCAACTAATTTCAGTGGATTATATATTCAAAGGTCAAGAGTCTAATGCAGGGGTCCCCAACCTTTCTGGGTTGGCAGCCCGGTGGGAAAGGGAGGGGTAGGCACCTTTATGCACGCATGTGCACACACACAAATGTGGCTGCGTGCGAGTGCACATGGATGGGGCTGCCAGCATGCGCGCTCCGCAAATGGGGCTGCTAGCCCCGGCTAGCCCCAGTGCAAGGCTCGCAGCTCGACTAGTACTGGCGCAAGGAGGGGTGAGCACGCACGCACTGGCCAGCCACTCATTCGGCGTGGTGGCCAAGAGGCCACAGCGTGGTAGTGAGCTACGGCCCATAGTTTGGGGATCTCTGGTCTAATGGGTTGAATAATTAGCTATAATGCCTTCAAAAATATTTTTTAAAAGATAGGCTTCAATAAAAAAGATGCTGAGACTCTAGAAAGAGTACAGAGAAGAGCAACAAAGATGATTAGGGGACTGGAGGCTAAAGCATATAAGGAACGGTTGCTGGAATTGGGTATGTCTAGTTTAACGAAGAGAAGGACGAGGGGGGACATGATAGCAGTGTTCCAATATCTCAGAGGCTGCCACAAAGAAGAGGGAGTCAAGCTATTCTCCAAGGCGCCTGAAGGCAGGACGAGAAGCAATGGGTGGAAACTGATCAAGGAGAGAAGCAACTTAGAACTAAGGAGAAACTTCCTGACAGTTAGAACAATTAACCAATGGAACAGCCTGCCTCCAGAAGCGGTGAATGCTCCAACACTGGAAGTTTTTAAGAAGAGACTGGACAGCCGTTTGTCTGAAATGGTGTAGGGTTCCTGCCTGGGCAGGGGGTTGGACTTGATGACCTCCAAGGTCCCTTCCAACTTTATTATTATTATTATTAAATACCACCAAGTATATGATAAGAAGCTAATCTTTTTCTCTACTTTAACATTATAGAGGACTGGAAATGTACATTCAGTCCTCTCTTGGACTTATCATTTTCCCAGATTTAAAGATGAGTGGAGGAAAGAATAAAGATTGGTTGGTGGGCTAAGTAAAAACACCCTCAAAACCTAAACTGTATAATAGAAAATGAGCTTCATTCCACTTCTACTTCTGCTGAATATTTGTTTGTTTGTTTATCATATTTCTTAACAACCCATCTCTCTTTTTCCTATGAAATAGGAATGTTACTGCATAAAGAACAATTGTGTTCAAGAGTCTACACTCCCATTCCACTCAGGCTTTTCTCTCAACAATACCAGGTACCTTGAGCATCCAATTGTTCATGATTGTTCCACCGTACTAGCTTTGCAGCTATTTGTTTCAGCTTAGTCAACCAAAAACTTAGTACTGTACAAATTTTAAACTTTCTACTAAGCACATGCTGAATAAATACATGCAAACATCATTGACACTTATATAAAATACACTTTCCAAAATGTGAAATATCTACTTACTGGTGATTCAATGTCGTCAAGAAGCAATACCAAGCAACGCTCACATTTGAGTAGAGTCTGGGCTCGATGCATAATTTTTTTCACAATTTTCTCCAGGTCTGTCTGTTCTTCAAAGAGATCATTAACCACCTCCAGCAAGGCCTTCATACATGGGATGGAAATCAATCACAATTGGTTTCCAAAAGTAATGAATAAATGATTGTGTAATATTTTTTTTTTTAAAAAAAAAAAGAGCTGTGAAAAGAACCAGTTACTAACACTCTGGAATACTGGCTACTTGTAAATTAAACTTAGATGCACAAACTTAGGACATGTACATATGGAATGTTCTCAGTTTAGTTTCCCTGTAAGAGGCTTGAATATATATTTCAATATTGATTAAACTATTTCTGACTAGGAAATGTTCTAGGACAGGAGTGTCAAACTGCCGGCCCACCCCAGCTCCAGCAATGCGAAAAAAGTCATGATACGTCGCGACACATCACGTGACGGGGTGAGTTTGACACCCGTGTTCTAGGGAATATTAGCTTTCTGTAAGAACTAGCAAACTATTTCGACATATCATAATGATTCCAAGAAAATAATAATAAAAACAATAATCTGGTTCCAAGTAAACACCTTAAGTATAATCAAGCAAGTTTGATCTAAACCTGTGCGACCTTGTGCTGAACATGAAATCATTATTTATTTTTCTTTCATGGCAATTTGAAAGTAAAGGTGCAAAGCATTAATTAATCTCAGAGCTACTTAGCTTCAGATTGTAGTGTCTAATTTAGGGGTTTCATAAGGCAAATTATAATGTAACAGATTAATTCTCAGTGGCAGTCTACTAAATTTTTGAGATAAATTAGATATTAAGTGATCTTGAAAAGTATTAGTAAAGAACAAGAAAAAAAGCCCAGAATAGCTTTTTCTGCATGTTTCAAAGTAATTATGTGAAAAAAAGAAAAAAGAAACTTTTTTCTCAAACAGAATTATAGCCTTGATAATTATGGTAGTGAAGCTGAATAGATTTCAGGCAAACCAATACCATGCATTTGACATAGGATTTATTTCAGTTAAGAGTGCTGTACAAAACAAGGAGTAAGCAAATATGACACAATCCAGTGTGAATACAAAACAGTGTACTGATGCTGATTTCTACTCTTATTCATACTGCACTAATTATGGCAGAAGTGGGCAATCACCAGTTGAAGAACTGCAAAGATTTTTTACAGAAAGATGCTAAAATTGCTAGGAGTGGCAGAGGAAAAAATTGGTGAACTAATATAAATGCAAGAGACTGGGCAGATGGATAAACTTTTAGGATTCATGTTCTGCACGAAAATACATTTGGAGGGATTGAGGGCTGCGAAAAGGACGAGATATGTCATACGAGTGGACAAAGAAAATTTCTGGATGTTCCTTTTTAAAAATTTGTGATTTCGTTATTA